ATTTTCGTTTTCTGACAATTAAATACCGTTATAGGTACATTTTAGCATGCATTTTCCTATTTTAATCATTTAAGTCCTCATACAATTCCAATAATTGAAATAATAGTTTACGAACGATATTTTTCTACTACACCTAAGCAAGTCTTTAATTATAATCCATATGATTACAAAGTAAAGCTTCTAAAATCAAAAAGTAGTAATTATCTTGAATACTTGATGATTCAAAGCTCCAAAATATTCCGAAACTAAACACTTTCGAACACTAATGCTTTAGCACGTTCAATCACAAAATCTCATCGACTCGTTCTCATCAAAAGAGGCCTACAAAAGAAATGTATAAATTGAATTAGTATCCCATTTAGGAACACCAACACCAATTAGCATGAATCCAACAAAAGTAAGTGATCATAGAATGTTTACATTGTACACTTAGTTGTCAGAAAATTCAATATTTGTCAATGCTTTTCGCCAATTCTTTGTTTTGCAATATATGTGTATGCGTATGGGACATCGTTAAGGTTTAGACTAGAAATTTCACCCAATATCCGGAGTTGAACCCGTAGTGGTGTGATGTGTAATTTTCAGTTGGATTATGCAAATACAAAATGAAGAAAATCTAACTATTTGAAGTAGAAGGATATCTATACAATTGCGAACCTTTCGTTTGTACACTATACGCTGCTATTTGCATATTGATTTCTGAGTTTGATTGCCCAATTGGTAATTCGGTTGTTTGCTTCTTAAAGTTCGTGTACATTTTTGTATGATGTTGTCCATCTGAAGTAGACTTGATTTATGTCTTGATTCTTGTCTTCGGGTACGTAACACTATTTTGTATTCGTATTATTGTTTTGTGAGAATTACTGGTTTATAAGCTGAAATTGTATACTTGGGTCTGAATTTGTGATTTTAGAACTTTTGCGGAAAAACAAGAGGATGCTGGACAAATCTATTCGAGAGATAGAGAGGGAGAGAGGAGCTCTCCAAGGACAAGAGAAGAAACCAATTAGCATGAATCAAACAAACGTAGGTGATCACAAAAGGTTATTTATTTTTTTTATTTTTAATTTTACATGTATTAAATTAAATGGGTAAATGGATACCTGTTATAACCGCAAGTAATACCCATAACCGATGGATACCCGTTATAATCACGGGTAATGCCCATAACCGTCCATTTAAATTTCACGGATAAACGGTTATATTCATAACTGTTTGTTTGTCTAAACGGTTACCTATAACCGTAACTGTGAGCTTTAAATGGACGAGTAACTGTGGTTACCCAACCCATGGGTATTTTGCCCATCCCTAATCAGGGGTGAGGGAAGTCGGAAAGGAGCCTATGGTAGGTTTTCTTTTTAGATTTGATGTGTTTTTCATGTAAGTTTTAGTATTTAATTTTAAGGATATTTAGCCAAAGGTCAATAAAATTTTTACTAATTAGCCATATATCAATGACTAATTTTTTTTTTGGACATAATTATAAAATATTGATAACAATTATGCATACGTTAATGAAGCATGTCATATGGGTTTAAACTAGTTATAAAATAACTATTATACCCTTCTCTCTTCACTTTATTCATTCGTTATATCCTCCTCTCTTAAAAAAAAAAAAAAAAAGTTTAAACTAGTTAGAAAGTAACTATGGTATAAATAATACATTCAACAAGTGCAAGATTTCTTGCTTGTACTCAATGAGGGTAACCTGACTGGAACAATCAGTGTGCATAAGGATGATAGCTTTGAAAATGAAACTGCATCTTGAAGCTTATTCTCTGCTTTTGGCTTCTGGGGTCCATGGAAGAACCTGGACGATGCACAGCATAGAGCAACACTAGAGCATTTGTTTATTAATATGCAATACTCTCCGGAACATCCACAGCTAGAGGAGAGAAACCTCCCAAGTCATCAACAAAGAATTGAAAACCCGGTCAAAATACAAGGACTCAAGCTTATACATTAAATCAAAATTCATGTTGAACACCAACATTGAGAGGCTTATATGTTGATGCAAATTTATGCCATCTTCAATCTTGATGAAAATACACCTACAAAACAATCAACAGCTTTGATCAAAGACCAAAGCCTCATGTGTCCACGAGGTTTTGGGAGAGGGGAGGGGAGGGAGAAGAGGGGGGTTAGGGCAATGGATCTCTGATGCCTAAGTTAGTCTCTCTGAAAAAGAGTAAGTGTTTAGGGCTTTTAGGGGTAGCTCAAGCTTCCTGAAATTTGGTAGAGATGGAGGTACTTATAGGAGAGTGGCCGGCCATGGTGTTAGGGTTTTACCCTACACATGGAGGCATCCTATTGGCCAAGGTTTATGGAGAAATATTCTCAGGATATTAAATAGGAAATAATATCTTGAGATAAAATAGTAAATATCCCTAATTGATTTAAATAGGGATTACTTACTTGAATGAAGTCAATCTTTAACTGGGAATGTATTAAAGATAGGATTTGCGTAATTAATCATTATCTTTAATGCTTTGAATTTTTCTTGCCAAGGGTAGGTGAGCTGTGGCGGTCGTGTTCAGCTGCTTGGACCTTCAAGGGTGCTAAGCTGTGGGTGTGAGTATTTGAGAAGTCTTCCAATTTAATGAGGGCAATCTTATCTTTTTTGAGCAAAAGTCCATGTGCAGCGTCTAGGATTTTTGGGATTATTTTGGACTCCAAATTATACAAAAAAAGGAGCACGAAAAACAAATATAAAATAAAAATACTAGATACACTTCTACTCTTGATGTTCAGAAGGCTAAAGACGACGTCAATGTTAACCTATGAACAATCAGGCTAAAGGAACAATTGCCCATGTAAACACCAACTTATGTAGTTTGGACCATGAACAGATCATTCTCGTAGTGTTTGAATCTAAATGTAAAAGGAATCGTGAAAAGTGTAAAGTGTAGAAAGCTTGTGAGTGATGAAAAAAACAGAACTATGAAACGGACACTGCAACACAGTGTCTAAATCAAAATGCTATAAAAAAAAATTAAAAAAAAAAAAAAAAAAAAAAAACCAAAAAACGTACAGTGCATTGCAATGTCTGAATATGTAACAATAATGTTTAAAAAAAAAAAATCCAATGAGCGGACACTACAATACTGAATCTAAACGTAAAAATAATGTAAAAAAACAAAACCAGTAAGCGGACACTGTATTGCATTGTTTAAATCCAAATGCAAAAATCAGGAGTCGTGCGATGTGTGAAGCTAGGAGGTGTGTGAGTAATAATAATAAAAATAAAATAAAATAAAAAATAAAAACAAAACTAGGAAACGGGCACTGCAATGCAACGTCTGAATCCAATAAAATCATAATAAAAAAATTAACGCTGCGTTGCAGTGTCTGAATTCATATTGACCTATTCCAAAATGTAAAAATATAAGAAAAATGAGGTGTCATTTGAAGTGGGTGCTAGCTATAATAGCATATTTCGTAATTTTTGGTTATCTTCAATGCATTTGAGTATTACAATACATGATTGACTTATTCATAATTAGCTTAAATATTGTTGATATATTGTTAATATTGTAACTTTTTATTTATTTTATACAAAATCACCCTTTATTTTATTGTTACTTTTGTTTACATATTTTTTCAAAATATTTAAAAAAATTGAAAAGTGATACATTTTTAACAGAATGTTAACAAAAACAAATGAAGGTTAAATTAGCACCAAAGTTAAAGTCTAGGTGGGTAATTTAAAAAATTGTTTCTTTGGGTGGAATATGAATACACCCTTGAAAATCCAGATGGTATTTGTGGAAATTTCTCCAAAACAAAAATGTGACCTGGTATCATTGACTGTACTTTTCCGCGTAGAAAATTTATTAGCCGGGTTGAGCAAGACTGCAAGTGATTTCCTCCACAAGACCCCAAAAAAATTGCCTCATTCACTGTACACTTTTTGGATGTCTGTTTTGTGTCTATTTTTTTGGTCATATACAATTTTGTGTCTTTTTGGTGTTGGTTTTTATATTTATTTTTATATCAGGTTTTTGTTTTCTTGTCACCTATTATTCAATTTTAATTAAGTAACCATATGACTAGCTAGCAAATTATAAAATAAAAAATGGCCAGGGCAATTGTCCAAACTGGATATAAAATATTATAATATAAGCCGGGAACAAGGAAAATATATAAAATATTAAAATAAAATGACCATGACCCATCAGCATTATACCAGCTGGGTTTCAACTCGGCAATTATAAAAGCCCGAGTCCAAGTCAAGTCAATGGTGCGTAGCAAGCTCCCTCGCACTTATTTTTTTCTTTTTATTTTTTATTTTCTTATTGTGTGGATAGCATATTTTAGTGCTTCTTGGTATAGCACCTGCTAGTTTCTTTATGAATCACTTAATTTGGTGGTGATAGGTAAGATGCATTTAAATTGTAGATAAATTTATTATAAACTTTTACAAAGAAATGCTGAATTAAAGCACTCCAAACAGCCTCGTTTGGTGGGCAGGATGAGATAAGTTATTTTTTATGAGAAAAATTGTAATACAGACTGGATTGGCTACAAATCCAAAATAAGAGAAAATATGATAGGTTATGTAGCCTAACCACACACATGGGTTATGTAACCCATCCCTACCAATTCAATCCTATTCCTAAGATCAAATCTCATTCAACCTACCAAATAGGCACAGGACTTTTTGGTTGCCCCAAAAGAACTATTTTCAATCAAAATGGACATATATATCGGCCTTATAAAATTGGACAATTGTGTTGAATATTAGAGAAAATAAGTCTCTTACTGAACAAGAACCACAAGGACCATGTTAATTCGAGTGCGAGGACAATATATTAGGAGTGGAGTAGTCAGTAGTGAGTGCGTTATATATAAGATGGCATAAAAAAAAAAAAACCATATTGACATTAACTAGTGGTGCACGACTCTCTCTCTCTCTCTCTCTCTCTCTCTCTCTCTCTCTCTCTCTCCCTCTATATAACCCATACACGAATAGCACAATTGTGCATGCAAAACCCAAAAGCATGAAACAATTCATAAGTCCCAAACTATGGTTCAATTTCACCACATCCGTTTCCTCTCCTTTCTCATAATAACACTAGCAGCAGGCCTCTTCCCGGGCACCCATGCAGTCTACTATAAAGTCACCAACACCGCAGGGGGAACCCCCGGCGGAATTCGCTTCAACAACAAAATCGGAGCAGACTATAGCAGGCAAACCCTAGTCTCCTCCACCAACTTCATATGGCGCTTGTTCCAGCAAAACACAGCCGCGGACAGAAAGAGCGTCTCCAAGGTAACCTTAATTGTTGAAAACATCACTGGGGTGGCTTACGCCGTCAACAATGAGATCCACGTCAGCGCTAGCTACATAGCTGGTTACTCTGGCGATGTTAAGAAGGAGATCACCGGTGTGCTTTACCATGAGTCAACGCACGTGTGGCAATGGAATGGGAACGGTCAAGCCCCAGGGGGGTTGATTGAGGGAATTGCTGATTATGTGAGGTTGAAGGCAGGGTACGCGCCAAGTCATTGGGTTCAGCCGGGGCAAGGGGATAGGTGGGATCGGGGGTATGAGGTCACTGCTTGGTTTTTAGACTATTTGAATAGTTTGAAAAATGGGTTTGTAGCTGAAATGAATAAGAAAATGAGAAGTGGTTATAATGCTAATTATTTTGTTGATATTCTGGGGAAGAATGTTGATCAGCTTTGGAGTGAGTACAAGGCCAAGTATGGAGGAAGATGAATTAATGTAGTGCTTCTGTAGCCTCATGCAGGCCAAGGACCGATGTAAGTAAATAAAAATGTTGTATTAATCTATTTGATCATAATAAAATGGTGTTCCAATTAATTTGTATGATAGTATTGATTGTATATTGTATATGTTACTAGACTATTAATTTTTTATTTTTTTGAAATTTGATGCAATAATAATTCATAAACTACTAGGTCCCGAAACCCTAGGGAAGCCGCAAAAATGGTTGGAAGGTTTCCCAAAGGATCCTATGACCGTTTGTTTAGGGACCCTGAAACGCCTACCAGGGGATCTGTAGAATTCAGTAGCAATTCTCAACAGCTTGCTTGAACTGTTGTCAAGTTGTTTTCTTTTTCTTCGTTTTAATGAACTAGCCAAAACAAAGTCGTTTTGAACCAAGCCTTTGAAAAAAAAGTTCTAATACTACAGATCCAAGCCTTTAACGCTTCATGGACCCCCCTCCCATTCCCTAAATCAAACCCCCATTCTTGTTCCTGACCACCACCACCAGTTGCCGGCGCACCGCGTCAACAGAAATATTTTGAAGCTTTTACACTAGGATCCCATGATCTCCCATGAAAAAAGATGTTTTTGTCAAACAGATTAATGGATAGGACATGGATAGGATCCCTGGTTAATGGAGTGTGTGTAGTGACGAATAAGACACGTTATTCGTATGTTTTTTTTTTGTTTTTTTTTTTTTTAAACAAACAATATTTTCTATATTAAGAGGATTAATGAGTAGACTAAGCTTTACAGCAAACTAACAATAATATGATTTAAATTCATTTTTAATGATAATTAAACTTAAAATTTTTTACTTATAAATGAAAATAAATATTACTAAATATAGTACTAAACGGCTTATTTCCCCTAGTTTCGTGCCTATTGCTTCTGTAAAAGTCAAATGTGTCCTCCTCTAATAATAACTTATCTCAAAATTATTGCTTCCATAAAAGTCAAATGTGTCCTCCTCTAATAAGCATTTTTCCTCCTGTAATAATAACTTATCTCAAAACTATTGCTTCTATAAAAGTCATATGTGTCCTCCTCTAATAATAACTTATCTGTAAAAGTCAAATGTGTCCTCCTCTAACTTATCGATTCCGTAAAAGTCAAATGTGTCCTCACCTAATAATAACTTATCTCAAAGTTATTGCTTCCTTAAAAGTAAAATGCGTCCACCCCCAATAATGACTCATCTCAAATGTGTCGTACACAAACTGATATTTAGGTCTAATCAACTTGCATATTTTTTTAAGGGGCACTTTGATTCAAGTCTAAAAAATTCAGTTGTTTTCAAATTAAATCCAATTTTATTTTAAGAGTAATGCAAATAGGAAGATTAAATTTGTAAACAAAATTTTATAAACTAAATAATATAGAAGTTGATGATTGAATTATTACTTAAACGTTGATTAACGTACTTATTCCTATTGGTGACATATAATTTGGTTTGTAAATTTTATCTACAAATTTTGTCTCACTAGCATTGCCCTTTATTTAATTTTTCATTATATGCGTCTTTCCCTTTAGAATAAAAATATCAAATGATTTAAAATTTCTTAAATTTAAAATTTATATGACTGTTTAGACCATTGAAGGACAAAATGGTTGAAATAATTTTTAATTATTATTGAAGAAATAATATTGTGATTTTAATCATGATATTATCTCTTAGTAATATATTAAATTATTTAAACCTCATATTTGTCTAAATCCCAATTAATTTGAATGATGGTGGACTATTGGGATATGCACGGCGTCAAATAATGAAGTAGGCAGAACAATCCAATTTAATTTGGATTTGTTAACAGTGTACTGTGTGGATTAGAGCAACTCGGCTTGGATTCTGATCACGTGGCATAGCATGGGATTTGCAAGGCTTGGATAATGGTGAGATAGGAGACCTAAGTAGGCTAGGTTGTTTATGGATGTTGTCAGATGAATTGGATTGATGATGGACTTGGCCTGCATGCCGTGTGAAAGGCTATGAATTATATATATATATATATATATATATATATATATATATAGATAATTGGTGGTTGCCGTATAAGTCTGCATGCCATGAGAAATAGTGAAAGGCAAACTATATATATATATATATATATATATATATATATATATATATAATTGGTGGTTGTTTAGATGAACGTTATTTGTTCAAATCCGTGCCTGCAGATTATTTTGGGATTTGATGTATAAGACTAAATACAAGGATTGGTTGCATTTTTGACTAAGTTCAGAGTCCTAGGTGTAGTAAGGCTTATCCGAGGATTAAGTCAGTGGAAGAGTTTTAATAGCTTGGGAGTCTTTATTAGCTTATCAACCAGCGTGTACTCGTCCCTATAAATACAAGACATCAGGCAACAATTGAGAGACCTCCAATTCAACACACAACTGCCCTGCGCAAAACCTCTCAAACATCTTGGGATTTTTTATTTTCCTTTTTCCGTCGACACATCTTCAGTTTAGATAAATAACACTGTGAAGGCAACCGGCGAACACCTTTATTTTGGATAAACAGCACTGTTGCCGTAGAATCAAGCGACCAAGGAGCACCTTCAGTTTGGATAAACAGCACTGCGTCGAGGCCGACTAATTACTTATCCAAGTCTCGGTCAAGAAGGGTTTTCAAATCCTTATTGGCAGAGGTCATCTTATTAGCCTTCTCGGCGAAGTAAGGTGTTACAAGTTACGACATTCGGCGTATTGAACGCCGAGTGATTTTATGATTGGATACTCACAAGTGAGTTTCAGAATTCGGCATTCTGACGGCTGAACCACATTCACCATCAAGACATACATCACCTTTGAATACTTATGTCCGTACAGTCTGGTGTCGATTCGACGTGCTTATACTCTTACGAATATAATTACTGTGATCGAATCCGGCGCCGACGATTTGTGAACTTCGCAGAACTAGCAGCCTTATCTTCAAGCTCAAGAATCCAAAGGCCGAGATTTGTTCCTTCGTCAGTCGTAGTTGCAAGATAAAGAAGTCGGCAGCATACTCAACGCAACATCAACAAATTTTACCACGTGTACTAACCGTTATTTTCAAATTCAAAATTTTTTAATCATTGAAAATTCTACGGCCCAAAAATATAGCCATTGAAAATTCAATGGCCAAGACATAACCACATCGCCCCCCAAACCAGTTAAGTACGCCTGCAGCACGGGCCCCTAACTTTGTATTTGTGTTAACTCACTCATTGGTATTTGTGCTTGCCTGAAAACAAAATACTTCACATGGCTAACATCAGATCACCTTAGCCACAAGGCTACGCTATGATAGCCCGTGTGCTTGCTTCGCCCCCACCCACCCCCCAACCAAGCTTATTGGGCGGGGATGAGTAGTTTTGGGGAGGATGGGAGATTCCTAATAACTCAAGCTTCTATAGCCATTAGATTGATCAAATAAAGTAAAATTAAGGTCTAGATTGACAAAGAGTGTGCACAAGGTAAAAAGGGGTGTGTTGAAATCATTACTCATCTTGTTTAGTGGACAAATTCATTTTTTTTTCCTAATACAAGAAAATATTAGAGGACGAGGATGTTGGAAATTATATATTATAATATCTAATTTTTGCGTGAATGAAAAATAAGAGTCAAGTGTTATAGTTGAATTCAAATTCATGAGTTGCATTTGTTCGTTGGAACTTTACGCAACAGTCACAATGTTTCAAAAGAGGTGGCTTCACTAGTACAAAAACACAGTTGTGTGTAGGGCTAGGTTCGGTTTTTTGCCAAAACCAAAACCGAACTGAAATTTTGGTTCAGTTTGGTTCAGTTCATTTTTTTTTGGGTTCGGTTTCGATTTTTTTTTTTTTCAAAAAATGAAAGAAATGGAAATCTTAAATTTTGTCAAAGTGATAGTATTACATTATCACTTTTCATTAAAAGGAACTTGGATGCTAAAAAAAAAAAAAAAAAAAAAAAAAAAGAACATTGAAACTTTAAAGCGAGCAGCCCCTATGCAATCTGAGAGTCAGTCAAGATTTTGTGTGTTTCTTTTTCACCCTTTGCCGTAACTAAATAATAGGGATCCAGATTTAGAGGGAAGCAGATTATGAAAAAGAAATCAATAGATTAATTAATTTACCACATTGCAACTAAATTCTAATGCCACATTTAACATATAAAACTAAGAAAAAGTATGTATTTTAGGTCAAACTAGTAAGTAGCTAATGACCATTATATGCTCAAATACTATGTATTTTAGGTCAAAATATGAAAAAATTGAAATCTTAAATTTTAACATCTCAAACACAATCATAACGTAAACATTCCAACTTGAATCAAAGACAATGAAAATAAACATTTAAAGTTCAACTAGAATCGTAACGTAAAGGCTTTTTTTAATATTATGGGTTTAAAGTTTGACAACACGTTGCACATTTGGACTTACAAATTGGGCTTAAAAAATAATACCCAAAATAGATAATTGAATAAATAAAATTAAAAAATATTAATTTAATTAATTCGGTTTGGTTCGATTTCTAGACCACTAAAACCGAAACCAAAACAAAAGAATTTGGTTCGGTTCAGCTTTTTCAATTCGGTTTAGTTTTTTAGTTCGATTTGATCAGTTTCAGTTTGGTTTGATTTTCCCTTTTTTTTATGGTTTTCCCTTTTTTTAACCCACCCCTAGTTGTGCGACATAGCACATTACGTTGCACATAAATGTATAGTGCAACGTTGACAAACAAACGTCATGCAATGACGTTTTGTGCAATGGGACATTGCGTGACGAAGCTTTCAGTTACACAAAACTGTTTAGAGTGACAAAGGTGTACCTTCATCGCGCAATGTTTGGAAAAAAAAGGCAGTAAAATCTTGGTTTGGTGCCAGAAAATTACTCGACGGACTAATCACGTTAAGTAAATGGTCTTTACTTGCATCATTGATGTCATCAGTGTTGGTTCAGCCGCTTAGCGCACGGCGGCCTCACCGGTGCCATCGCCATCTGGAGCCTTCTGATCACACTTTCTTGGCATCCACAGTAGGCCTGGCAATTTCTGACACGACCCGATAACCCGACACGACACAACACGAAATTAACAGGTGTTTGGGTCGACACGATAACGAAT